ACTAACAAAAATGCCTGGCGAAAAAATACATCCGAAATCCATAAGAGGAAAACAATTCTGAAGTGGCTCCCTTCTTTTTTTTGCCTCCTCGTTCTCATCTTTCTTCCCTTTGTCACTTTATTTAGTTCATGCTCCTATTTCACGCTAGTTCACGCTCCTAAAAGAATTTTGGAGTGGAGGGCAAATGGCGCATGCTTGTGAAAGTGTAATTAAATTTATACGGTTTTTCGGAGACCTTCGCATAAGTGCGCGCGTGACTGTATCCGAGAAACACGGAATGCAGTTGGCCCAGGTGATTTTGATACTCCAAACTAAATTTGCAGTATGTTAAACTCGCTGTTCTACAGGGTAATGAAATAAATGATGATCTCACAATGATAGCACGCGGCGGTGCTCAGCAGCAGTATTCCAGTAGTCGTAGCAGAAGCAGTGGTGCACCTGGCGCCGGTAATTACAACTTGAATGACCCTTTGTGGACCGATATGTGGTACTTGGTCAGTTCAAATTTCTTTTTTCAAGTTTCTCATTTTCCTTTGAAAGCCTCCAGTAGAATCATTAAAACAACATTTTTTCAGAATCGTGCAGTATACGATCGTGGATTGGACCACAATGTGCGTGAAGCATGGGACCTCGGTTATACGGGAAAGGGAGTTGTTGTAACCATACTGGACGATGGTCTGGAGCGAACCCATCCGGACATTGCTCCAAATTATGTAAATTTAATTTGCGTTTTTGCATATATGCGAATGCGAAAACGCATATTGCGACGGTCCCGGTATATGTATGTATGTATGTGCGTATGTGTGTGTGCGTCTGTCCGGGTATTTCAACTCGGTACCCAAGCAAGCTCTGGCGCCAAAATTTTATCGGTGGATTCCCCAGCCAAGTGGTACCCCAGGACCGCGGCACCAACCTTCACGCAAGTCTGAGCCTCGCGTACGAAGGGGTGAAAGTTTTGGGGGGAAAATCGCTAACTCAGGAACTAGAAAAGCTAGAAAGCTGAAATTTTGAAGCTATGTCCGCTGTCCAAATTTGGCTCGAAGATTTCAAATTCTGTCTCCAGGTGTGCGTGATACCAACTTATGGCCCCGTGAGGATTCTTGGCGCGAAAATCGCTAACTTGGGGGCCAGAAAAGCTGGAAGGCTGAAATTTTCAGAGAATGTTCCCAGCGTATGTACAACTTAAAGTCGTCGAACCCGAGCCCCAGGCATGCGTAGTTTGCACGTACAGCCCCGTGAAATTTTTTGGCGGGAAAATGGCTAACTCGGGAACCAGGAAAGCTAGAAAGCTGAAATTTTTAAGGAATGCTTCCAGCTCACGTACCACAAAAATTTATCAGACTCAGTCTTGAGGCACTCGTGGTTCTCTCGTACGGCACCGTAAAATTTTTTGGCGGAAAAATAGTTAACTCGGGAAATAGGAAAGCTGGGTGGCTAAAATATTTAGGGAATGTTCCCAGTATGTGTACGACTTAAAGTCATCGAACTCAAGCCCCAGGCATGCGTGGTTATCACGTACAGCCCCGTGAAATTTTTTGGCAGGAAAAT